CAATCATAATCTCATGTCCCCAGTCCAACAGTACTGGGCTGCCCAGTGTGTTGCACAGGGAGAGAGTGGTGGTGGGAGTGGAGACCACCCCCACGCTCTGCACACCTTGCTGCGCCCTTCCCACAGGGATCTCCAGCCCCAATGAATCAGGCCAAGAAGACGCAGGGAAGTGACGCCTGGGCCCTGGGGCCAAAGGAGTCAAGAGCACAGTATGAGTCACCTTTAATTAAGAGTATTTCTTAAGTAAATGACTTAATAGGACAGTTATATTCATTAGAGGCGTAATTACAAGACATAAGATCAAGCAGAAAAGAATGTGGAGTGCGAGGGTGGAATCCAGTTCCATTCCAGGCAGCACCACACAGCACCGGGGGTCCTGGTGTGGCAGCAGTAGAGGAGGCGGGCACAGAGCGTCCTCCCCCCTGTGTGGCTCTCATCAGCCCACTTCTGGTCAACTCAGGGTGGAGGGGGGGACGGGAGCCTCAAGCACAATTAAAATGCAATAATCATAAATGAACACTAATTAAAGTCTCAAGGGAGTGTCCCATTAACCAGGAATCAGCCCTGACAAAGCCAAGCCTGACTGCTTGCCGCCCCGGTGCAGGCGACACTGTCAGAAGAAAGCACTCTGGCCTCCTGGAGCTTCCCAAGAGAGCGCCACCCCTGATCGGCCACCGCGAGGCTGCCCCTGACCCCAGAGGCTTGAACTTGATCTTTTGAGGATGTCAGAGCCTCAGAGTTAGCAAAATCAATTTCTCCCTGGGAATCAGTGGTCCCCAAGAGTTCTGTCACTTTCCTACACACACACACACACATACCCAGCCCCCTACCACAAGTCACTCTATTCTCAGCCAGAGCCTCAAGGCAGGTTTGATTCTGTTTTTTTCTGGGCCCAAGACCTGTCATTTAAAAAAGACTTCCCCATGGAGCTGAGGTCCTCTATTAACAGTCTTCTCAAACTTTAGGCACATCTGCAAATCTGCTGGGAAAAGATGTTTAAAGTCATTGCCTGGACCCAGCCCAGCAATTCTGATGAACTGAGCCCTGTATTTTCCTTGTCTGATAAGCTCACAGGTGATGGCAGCTGGGCTGGTTCAAGGACCATACATGGAGAATCTTTGCTCCTTGATAGCCGCAGGCCGCCTGTCTAGGGAGGACATTCTTTCAGTCAAGGAGTGACAGGCTGGAGCACTCAGAGACATGGCACATTCCCACTCTGTGTCTTCCCCATCCTTCCCAAGTGAACCTAAGCCTGCCCTTCCAGTTTCACACCCATGGCTCCCTGGCCTCACACAAAGTTTCTGAAGAAACTCTGCTCTCCTGTGTTGGCTTATGGGCTCGTTCCTCCTAGAATCTGCATAAACCGTAGAAATAAATAGTCTTCATTGTGTAACCAGACGCATGTGAGGCCTCTCATGAAGCCTTCCTGGGATCTCTGCCTTTGAGGCAGCACTGTAGGAGAGAAACAAATCACCAGCCACAAACATGAACTAACGACATGTGTAATTTTTGCTCTTCCGGCAACTAAATTTCAAAAAGTAGGAGAAGTAGGTCTTTTTAAACCCAATATATAGAAAATGTTATCTTTCAATATGCCAATAACAAAGTATGGATGTGATCTTTTATTCATTTTCTTTTCCATATGAAATCTTCAGAACCCAATATATGTTGTGTACTTACAGCTTACCTCAGTTAGGACTTGCTGCCTTCAAATGCTCAATGGTGCTAGTAGCTCTCATACTAGATAGCTCAGATACCAATGTATTTTTTTTTCTTTACTCTGAATTCCCTCAGCCCTCTTTCAATGCCCCTCTTGGAACACACATCACTTTCTTGTTTTTATTGCTAGTCTGTTTGCAACTTGAAGGTGATGGCTGTGTTTTAATGCTGCTATTTTTTTTTTTTATTCTCCTGAAGTGTCTAGTACTGGCCTGTATGGAAGACATGATCAATGAGCATGGGTTGATGAATGAACATAGAAACACATGAATATAGGGACAGAGAAAGACCCATGGGAACATCTGACTTTGAGGGTCTCCTCCCAGTCACTGTGACATTTCTTTTCTCTGGTTTATGCATGGCTATTAGATCTTAGAGGAGAGAATAATTCAAGTTTTAGGACCCTCCCCCTGATACGTTTCCTGTTTCACTTAACTCTTCAACTCAGTGCATTAAAAAAAAAAAAAATCCCACCAGGAGGGCCCAGGAAACAGGAAAAATAGTTGTGCTGTTGGTTTCATGTTTGGAGAAGAACAGGGTTTCACTATCTCCGTGGCACTTGGCGTGAAAGTGGGCTTTGTTGCTGGAGACACTGCTCCTATTCAGGGCCCCCTTTCCCAGCTGCTGAGAGCCGGGCTGTGTTTTGACAGACAGGCCGAATGCAATGCAGACAGTTGTTTTAATTTCCAGCCAGATGCAGACATCACTCACAAGGAGCCCGAAACCCAAGAAAGGGAGCTGGGCACTGGACTGCTGCTCTCAGGCCCTGCAGGGTGGGTCGGAGGGGGCAAGCGGAAGCCCACCAGGCAGCCAGGGTCCCAACTAACCTGAGGGCTGTGAGCCATCAGTTCCAGGAGAGCCACCTTAGAAGGTCTCCTGTAGGCACCTGTTAGGAAGGTGCTTCAAGTAGGTATCACAGGCCATGAGTCAGGGTTCAAAGGTTGCTCTTTAAAGCGGTGTGAAATCAGTCAGGGGTGGGATGACTAGATGTTATCTTTCTACTGTCAAGTTGTACAGGTCAGAAATCACAAATAGTCTCAGAGAGGAATTGGGTAAACTGTGGGAAATAGAATCCTGGAATGTCAAAATTGGAAGGGACAGATGCACCCTTCCTCTGAAGGCAAATATCCCCCCGAACTGCTCTTGCTCCCCCGGAATAGGTGTTCACCTGGGCAGCAGGTCGTTGGCAGTACTGGCAGGCTCCAACTTTCTTCTGTTGAGCTTTCCTGAAACTTTTTATGCATGGATCCTACTGCAGCCACACTGTAGCCCTTCACACATTGGAAGCCTTCAAGGCTACTTGGAGACTCCTCTTCTGTGGAGTGGGCTAACCAAAAGTCCCAGGTCCATCCAGGTCCCAGAGGGACCTCATCTGTGCCCTACCTCAGATGACCTCTGGGAAGGATCTTAAGTTAAGCAATACCCCAGGAAGACAAGCTGCTCATAAATCCCCAGTGTGTCAGCCCCTCTTGGGTCTGACACTATGTGGATTTGGGTAGCCCATGATCAAATTAGCAATGTTAGTTCTCACTCTGGCAGGGCATATTGGACTTAGAGGCAACTCAAGTGTATATCATGCACAGATGTTTAAACCAGCTATCCCCAATCTACACTTAGAGTGTCCATTTTAAAAGTCAGTTTGCAAGATTTTACACTTGTCCTCTCAGCATTTCATGTGTTTTTTTATTATTATTATTATTATTATTATTATTATTATTAAGGGCAGGTTAAGGATGTTTAAGGCCATCATGACACTCATTTACAGAAAAGCCTTGTGTTGTGGAATGTTAAGTGTTAGGATATGCTAAAGACAAGTAGGGCACAACAGAGTAAAGGCAGGCTGGTCTCTGCCCACCCAGTGGACACCTTCCATTCAGTTACACTGAACTTGTCTCTGCCTCCTTTGCTCATTATGATCCCTCTGCTGAGATTGGACTTCCAAGTCCCTACATCTGGCTCATTCTTATACTTCAAGACTCACCCTTCCACCCACTGGTCTCTTCCTCCTGACAGGTTGTCCTCAGTGACCCTACTGCTCTAAGCTCCCAAGGTCCCCTGCAATCAAACCAGTCCTGTGTTACAAACACTCGGCACAATGTGAAGCAACTCTCATTTGGTAATTTCCAAGCCCCCCTGACTGTGGAGCTCCACGAGGGCAGAATCTGCATGTAGTTTGCTGTGGTTTCTTTATTGCTTAGCACCAGAGTGGACATCTGAGAAACCTTAGCTGAATGAATAGTGTTGGGGTCCATCCTGAACTTCCCAAGAGGATGATGCTGTGAAATTATTTTCATCATAGCCTTCATCCTGCTGCCAAAAGCTGGACCACAGTTTATTTTCACCTGAGCTTACACATCCAGTTGGTGGGGGACCTCTACGCCCTAGCAAATAAGAACCCATTGTCAGTCCAACAAATGTTTTTGCAGCCCAACCGCCTTCTGCCCCAGCCAGCAACAGAAACCTAGAACACATAAAATGGAAGACTTCAGTCCCTGACCCATTGCCTGATCTTTACACACATGTTAAACAGGTGGGAGAGAGTGATGTCCAAACAGGTCCAGCTCACATCCCTACAGGGCCCCACCAGAAAGTTAGGAGGCGTTTCCAAGGGCTGTCCTTTCTGGGGGCAGGGACTTGATCGATCTGCAAATCCCCACTTTCCAGGCAAGACAGAATCAGACAAGCAGCTCTTCTCTGTGGAGGTTCCCATTTAGCCAGACTTTTGAAAGGATGGGAGATTTACTAGGGAAACTGAATGCAGCCATCAGAGAATGGGATAATTGGATCCAGGTGGTATGTTTGGTTGGCTGTAAAGAGCCTGTGCCATACTATGAATATTATTTGATGGGAAAAGTTTCTCCTTCTCTCCCTTTTAAAATGTGTTCTGTGCAGGCAGGATGTCTCAGCCCAAGCCCAGCTGAAAGCTCTTCAGAGATGAGTTTGTGCCACTCAATAGCCTTTCAGCAGAGTTAACCATTTTTAGCACTTGCCCCTGTTTGCCCAGCTCTAGGGAGGACGTCGGAGGCAGGCAGCAATAGGTTGGGGAGTTTTCTTTTACCTCTAGCAAAGTCAAGAAATCTTGGGACTGCCACGCATTCTGCTTAGCCCTACCTGACCTAGCCAGAAAAGACATGAAAACATCAAGGTCACTGATTTGCCACCAGTGTCACCTTCTTATGGGACATGTTAGGGCAGAGTGCCTGGATATAGGTGAGTCTGAACACACATTCTCAAATTGTCACAACCTGACCTCCCTGTGCTCCCTTTCCTCTCCCCACCAGGTCACCAGGGTCCCTGTGGAGTCATGTGAACAGTACACAACTTGTGGGGAGTGCCTGAGCTCCGGGGATCCTCACTGTGGCTGGTGCACTCTGCACAACATGTAAGTTGGGAATGTTCTGGAAGAGGAGCTGGCATGCAGAAGATAGGGGGGCTTCCTAGAATGATGGTATGGGACAGCAATTTGCAGAAAGGAGGAATTTCCCTCTTATGAGGAGTAATTCTAAAGGTGAATGCAGAGGTGGGAGGCAGGGAGAGGGGACTTCTATCTGTGTGTAGTGCATTTGCCTCTCTGTCTTGCCCTCTCGGCCATGTTGGAGTGATGTGGTGGTATCCTTGTATCATTAGAGAACTCACAGGGAAGTTGTGGAAGAATCTCCAGGCCTCAGGGCTTCCAGGACATGCCAAAGGTGCCGCACTGGAGTTGGGACGTTTGCTCTCCAGCTAGCTGCCATGTGACCCTGGATGGGTCCTCTGACAACTCTAGGCCTCCATTTCCCTGTTGCTAAATAGGAAAAATGCCTGTTTCACAGGTGAATTGTTACAACTAAATGAAATAATAAGTGCTTTGGAAATAAGGAAGCCCAGGAGAGGCTACACAAATCAAAATAACTATTATGGACGCTTTACCCTTGGGAGGACCCTTCTGGCCTCATTATTTCATGATTCCAAGAAGTCCGCATCTCACTCCAACTGGCCTCTTATCCCTATTCAGATACATCCCCGCCATTGAATACCAGCTCAATAGAAATGCAAAATCACACTTAAACTTCCTAATTCGAAGAGCCCCAGAGGGAGAGAAAAGGGTGAAAACCCGAAAGGCGGGAGCTGGCTAGGAATTCTGTTGCCCAATGGAGCTGGAAACTCCATGGCTCAGGGCCAGCCAGCGAAGCATCTCCATGAAATGTGCTGGGTTTGGGGTGGAGGCGGAGGCGGAGGGCCAGAGTTCAGGGTCCTGGACAATAGCTCTTGGCTTGCAGCCTCTGCAGCAGGTGTTGGGAGAGCTGGGAGGGAGGGAGAGAGGCTGGCGCTTCACAGATGCAAAATCTGGACTGGATTTGTTTCCATGAACACTGGGTTCCCTACTTGGGTTTTGGAGGGACAAGATGCCACAGAAAGTTTTGCAAAAATACTCTTAGCAAAACCCAGACAGCGAGTCTCCAGGTAGATCAGACATATGGTAAAGATGCCGAGGCCACCCAATCTGCACCCCAGGACTGGCAAAGGGAGTAAATTTGGGCTCCCTTCAGCAGGGTCTCTCTTGAAGAGAATGTGTTTCTCTGATGAACCTAACAAAGCTGGGTGCAGTGGCACATGTCTGTAATTCCAGTTACTTGAGAGGCTAAGGCAGGAGGATTACAGGTTCAAGGCCAGCCTGGGCAGCTTAATGAGACCCTGCTACAAAATGAACTCCCAGTTAGAGTACTTGCCTAGACATGTGCGAGGCCCAGGTTTTAATCCCCAGTGCTGTAGAAATAAGGGAGGGAGGGAGGGAGGGAGGGAGGAAGGAAGGAAGGAAGGAAGGAAGGAAGGAAGGAAGGAAGGAAGGAGACAGTAGTACAGTCTACCTGCAGCTCTGTTCTACATGCCCCGTGGCTCTGCAGTGGCCATGACCAGCTGTATCTCCAAATCCTGGCCCCTTCCCAACCTGCCTCTGACACTTCTCACATGTAGAACACCATGCAGAATTATAGATCGGAGATGCTCATTTAGTCAACAGCAAGCACATCTGCTTTCCCCAACTTGTACCACCACCCATGGTTGGGTCAACAATGCCAAGTCTTCCAGCTGCCCCATGTCACGCCATTATCCTCCTGGTACACGACAGTTGTGTCTCCTTGAATGACTGAGCCTCATCAGGACAGTTTCCTCTGCTCCCTAAACTTCTTACCTGTCCTCAGAGAATCCTACTTACGGGTCACCCAGTATTCCACCTGCCAAGGACATGTCGAGAACAGAAGTTTCTCCATGCCTGGTCATTCTCATGTGTACAGACCCTTCTGCAATACTCTCTTGCCTGCCCAGATGATGAAAAGACAGGACCCCACCTCTCGGGGCTCACAGGCCGGCTTCTTTAATGGAGCCAGAGGGCTGAGGGAGATTGCTAAAGAGCCTCTGGGCCCAGGGGGATTGGAAACCCTCCTGTCTCTTCTGTATGCCTTGCTCTTGCAAGTGTGTTATTGTCTCCCAGGCTATTTATCTCTGTTAGGGCTGTTGCCATAAATAGTATGATAAAAAAGAGCCATTTCAGTGAGTCAATGAGATAAAGGCTCCAGTCAAGAGCTCACTTTAGAGCTATCTTAAGGATTCACTTAAACCTCAATAATTCTTTTCTTTGACAGCATTCATATTTAGATCCATTATGTGCCTGGAAAGGAAGAGGGGGAGGAGCTTGGGGGGGGATTTGGGGTGGGAATCACAGCTTGATCGTGAAATCTTGTCGTGTCCCTGGGCTATTTGGTTTGGAGCAACACCAAGCCCTGGAGTGTGTCCCCCATGGGACACAGCAGGTGGCAGCCTGAAGCTCCTGCTTGTGGGCATCACTGCGTCCACCTGCTACAGTGGGCAGAGGAGCCTGGAGCCCAAGATGAAGATGTCCAGAGAAATAGCCACACAAGCTTTCTGACAGAGGCAACCCTGGCCACAGCTCCTTTCTGCCTCTCTGTCTCAAGGCATTATTTCACGACACAAACATTTATTTAAAATATACCCTGTGACAGGTAGAACATCTCAATGAATAAAACATGACCTCTCCATTTAAAGAGCCATCAATCCACACACAGGATCATATGCACATTGTCCCACACAGCTTAGGCCCAGTCTCATTTTCTAAATTCTTCTGGAGGTGAATAATGATATTAATCATCATCATCATCAATAATATTGGTATTACAAGCGCTGACCCTGGCATGGCTCCTAAGTGTCAAGCTGTATTCTAAGCGTTATCTTATTAATCCTTCCACCAGCCCTGTGAGGTATTGCCACTCATACCCTTTTACAGTTGAGGAAACTTAGAACAGAGTGAATCAGTCACTTGCCCAAGGAGCCACAGCTATAGGGTAAGAGGTCTGGTGTTAGGACCCACAATCTTGGCTCCAGAGTTCAAGTTCTTAGCCCATTGCTAAGCTACTTCTAAAGTTCCCCCAAACTTCCCTCACTCACTCATCTGAGCATTCCTATGGTCCTGGTAAGGGTTGTTTTTTTTTTTTTTTTAATATCTAAACTCTGTCCCTTGTATTGAGAATTAATGCTCCTTCCCCTTAGTCTGTCCTTAGCTGCATGCCATAAATACCATCCGGAAGTCACTAAAAGTCCTCTGAAGTACAGTGAAAGTCACCAGGAGCAGACAAGCCACCAGTCTCTAGGCAGCAAACCCCTCTCACCAGGGGACAATGGCATCAAACACATGGGTCCCAGAGGCCTGACCTCTTGTGAATCTGTGTCTGTGTCAGGTGCTCCCGCAGGGACAAGTGCCAGCGGGCCTGGGAACCAAATCGATTTGCTGCCAGCATCAGCCGGTGCATGAGCCTCGCAGTACATCCAAGCAGCATCTCCGTGTCTGAGCACAGCCGGCTGGTAGGTATCTTAGCAGGGAGGCAGAGGGAGGAAGGGGGGGGCACGCATCTTTGTGGGTGGGCTCCTTTAAGGCTTGCACAAGTATCTGAATATCGATCCCACCTGAAATGTCTAAGGAAACTTTTCAGAAAACCTAGGGGTAACTCTTATTGTAAAGAGTCATCCTCCCTGGAAATTTATTGCCCATTGATCTCTTTTGTAAATCTAAATTTTGCGTGTAGTAGCAAACGTCTGTGACAATACCAATCCAATACCAAATGGCACATTCTTTAGTGTAGGCTGTGTTTGACAGTATTTCACTCTCTCAAGAAATCTGCAAGTTGCCTTTGTGTTGAGGGGAGTGAGGGTGGTGATAAGACAGAGACCAAGACTCAATTTGAAGTCAGTGTGTGCTTAAAGAGAGTATTCAAAAGAACAGAATAGCCCTGAACCACCTGCCAAGGAACAACCCAAAATAGTTCATGTCCTCAAGCCTCGACTGCTTTTTCATCCTGCAGATCTTTATGAGCATTCACGAATGTTAATTAGTTAATGAGCCTTCCAAGATTTGGATTCATTCATCCCTACCAGGAGGAGTAGGCTCCAAGGGAGCTAAGAGAACCAGCAGAGGGGTTTGTACCTAAGTCTCTTGCCCCATGGAAATGAAACTGGGGCAGAGATTCACTGGCCCACAGACACATGGCAAGGCCAGGGGACAGCCACAGTGACTAGAGAAGCGGCTGCCAGGTGTTAATAGGGAGACCAAGGGAAGCTGGCCTGTCCTGTGGCCCTCAACTTGAAGGCAGCCCCACAGGGGTATTTTCACCATGAACCCTGGGACACTCCTCATCACCAGAGGGAGCCAGTGACAACTTCTTACCTATTCAAGCATGGTGAGCACATATATTGTCGCTGAGCACAAACTCATCGAAAAGTGCCCTGAACTGAGAGCAGCATTTTCTCATTTTCTATTAAGAAATTCTTCTGAACATCTATGATATTTTTACCACGAAAAGGAGGGTCCTCAAACTTGACAAGGCTGGAAACCTCTGGCTAAATGATTGGAACCCCTGGGTCCCAGACACCATGAAGCTGTTGGTGGCCTCCCTTCTGGGGTCCTCTGAGCTCCTTGTGAACTTCCTGCCCCACTCCAGGACCTACCAGAGAGCAGAGGGCTGGGAAGGAACATAGGAGTAGAAACTCTAGGAATCCCACAGCCTGATAAGCAGCCTTTGAATGAGTAAGAGCCAGGTTGGAGAGCGGCTGTAACCCCCCAGCTAGTGCACGCCTAGCAGACCATGAGACTGGCCGTACCTACTCTACCAGGGGCCCAGATTAAGGCCTTGTAGATGAAGACTTCAGCTCAGGACACACTTCCAAGGTCCCAAGGAGTCTTGCAATTCATTTCCTTGTCAAATTGATCAGGGTCTGGGATGGATCTTGGTGCCTTTCCCTCTAATGGCCCTAAACCCCTGTGTTTTCTGATGCTCGATAAGATTGAAAAAGTCAATTAATAATACTATTAATAAAGATCCTACACACCAATGAGCAATTCATTTCTGTAATTGTTCTGTGACAGACCTGGAAGGTCACCTAGACCAGCGCCCTTCTTTTAGAGATGAGGTAAGGGGAGCAATAGGTCCCTGCAGGGCTGAGCTTGCAGCCGGTCTTCTGAGCTCTTTGTTCCTCCCACAGCTCAGCCTGGTTGTGAGTGATGCTCCTGATCTCTCTGCTGGTATCGCCTGTGCCTTTGGGAACCTGACGGAGGTAGAGGGGCAGGTGTCCGGGAGCCAGGTCATCTGTGTCTCCCCTGGGCCCAAAGATGTCCCTGTCATCCCTGTGGATCAAGGTAAGAAGTGTCTGTTGGGAGAACTACATGGGGGGGGGGGGAGCTGTTCTATTCTACCATGGCGGAGATGAGGGTCACAAGTTGTGGTCTGACTGAGTCTTCAAATACCAGATGCTAATATTGTCTTATTCAACTTGTTTGAATTTGAAAGCAAACTGTCATGTCCCCAAGCAAAATTCAGGAAGATAGAAAATGCTTGCTCCCACATGGATTAAGTCTGTGCACAGTCTGCAGACTGCCTGTCCCTTTTGGGAATGGGGGCGGCTTCGGTCAATGGTTTTTAGTGGGTTATCTCTACAGAACTGGGGGCTTGAGGGGTTCTGGCCTAATATTTCTAAAATTATTTCAGTAACTGAACATGCTTAACCAAGGCAAGGGGCTCTGTGAACGCTGCTACTCCCCTCCTGGGTCTGGGTCTGAGGAATGGACTGGTAACTAGCCAAAGGGATTCTCTCGGGAGAAGGTACAGGCAGGTTCATTCCGTCTACCATCTGCACTCTCAGAGAGCCCTTGGAGGGCTGAACAACTTGCTCCCTCTCTCAGGCTGTCCATCAGGTCCCCAGGTTTTCACTACACCCCATTCTTTTCTTTTTCCCCAGACTGGTTTGGGCTGGAGCTACAGCTGAGGTCCAAGGAGACGGGGAAGATATTTGTCAGCACCGAGTTCAAGTTTTACAACTGCAGCGCCCACCAACTGTAAGCACTTCTCGGGAGGAGTCTGGCCTTTGGTCTAGATATGGATATGGGGTTTCCCTTCCTTGGTTCTAAGCTCCTGTAGGACAGGAATTGTATAGTAGTCACTTCACAGCATCCCTCGGGGGTCTGGAACATGGCTTGGACAGAGGATGCTGTCTGGTCACACTCCACCATCCCCGATCTCAATCCGTGTTCCTTGGCCCCCATCCCAGCATACTCTCCCCCATACCACCCTCAAGTTAAAAAGTTAAAAATGGTAAAAAGAGAGCCTTGACCCAAGAACCTTAAGAAAAGGTCCTTTCTTGAAGACAACTGCATTGGTTTCCTAAATAGAGATTGACAGTGAATGGAGTTTGGACATGTCCCCCAAAAGCAAATGAAGAGGGACTCAGAGCAAGGGGACTCAGCTCTGCACTCAGGCACCCACAAAGGAGGTCAGGGCAAGGGGGGAAGCAGCCTCTCTCAGCACACAGAGGAAGGAGCTGGACTAGGTAGGAACAGTGGAGGCTTTAAGCCCACCATGTCCTAAACTCATCCTTTAACTTAAAAAAAAAAAAAAAAAAAAAAAAAAAAAAAAAAAAGGCGGGGAAGCCAGACAGACCAAAACACCAATCTCCAGAGCCTCAATAGCCTGACCTCACCAGCCCCCTCCAGCAGCTGAATGCCTACCAACTGGTGCCTTCCAGCTAGGAGATCCCACAACTGTTTAGGCAGCTGGGAGTATTGCGCAAGAAAAAGCAAGGTCACGAGTGCAGGAGAGAGAGAGAGACCTACGCTTGGTTTCTTCTGATTTTCTCTGGAAGAAGAACCAAAGCACAGAAGATTCCCACATAAGCTGGACATTTTGAGACTATTTAGTTTAGAGAAAGGGAACTACATGTGGTTCTATAATAGGGCCACATGATTGTCAATTGTCATAAGACTAATAACAAGGGGAAAGATGTGAAGCCCATCAACATGCCAAAGGCACTAGTAATTGGCAGTTTTTATGGAGTTATTCCTCCCATTTTCTAGAATAGGAACCACTGAGATCTATATAATAGACATAATTCCAGGGTCACTGAGTCCGTAGGATTCAAGTTGTGGGCACAAAGGGCTCAGCAATCAAGGTGGGGAAAGGATCTGTTTGCAGATAAGCCTTAAAAGAATCTTTAGCCATAAAATAGATAAATGAGCTAGTCCTCCTTCGTCTCCCCTTTTCTGATCTTGATTTTCATGATTAGAATAATTTTCTAGAGTCCTAGCATCTTTGCAGTAGTCAGGAAAGGAGACATATCTGAACCCCATTGGGATGACTCAATAGATAACCCTGAAAAAGAAAGAACAAGAGGTAAAAATGGCAGGCAGGAACCAGGGTAGGGCAGACAGTGGTGCAAGCTAAAATTAGGACCCAAGTGCCCGCTAACCACTGCATTCCAACCCCATCTAAGTCCGCCTTGGATATGCAAGCATCATGGAGAGAGAACCTCTCAACTTCCTTCACAAACAACACAGTGGTAACAGAATCCATTGTTTGTGAGAGCACCCTCATCTCCATGGCAATCTAGTGTGATGTCACCACTTTCAATGATGGATTGCTATGGCAACAAAGATGCTGTCACAGGCAGCAAATTTTAGCAGGGGAAAAAAATAACAGATCTTCTTGACAGCAAAGATTTTATTGCCAAATATTATCTATCTTGCCCCACTCTACCTCTGGCATTCACAGGTCAAAGTCACAGAATCAAATTTACTTCTTTCCTTTTAATATGGTAAACTGAGGCCCACAGAGAATACAATGATGGTCACACTATTAGCCAGTGGAAGATCCAGGTCTACAGTCCAAATAGATACCATCATCCTTTGGTCCCTGGTCTGTTTTCATTATTTGCTTGCTGAATCACAAGATATTATCAAAAACCAATCAATCAGGGTGTACACAAAATAGCATTGGCCTAAGCTCAGAAACTAAATAACTTTGGACATAAACATAAAAGAATAAAAATAATCAGCATGGGGAAGATGAAGTTAGATAAGCGAAGTGCCCCTAACACACTGGAGCCTATTAACCCACGACCTCTCAATCGATGTCCAATCACCCAGTTGTACCCAGACTCCCACCAGGTGGCGCCAGATTGCAGACTTGGTCCTCTCCAAGCCAGATTAGCCTAGTTATGAAAAACTAGAGTAGGAGAGCTTGGAAGACCATCCCCCTCTAGAAAACGCATTTCTATTATAATGGTCTGATCACACAGAGACAAAGTAATATACACAGCCTCCAGATGAAATAAGGGGGAAATAAATGCTCACTCTGGCAAGAAAGGTGTGTGTCATGCACCTATTCTGATGCTTCCTCCCTGGATTATTAGGAATATGAGACAAATTTACCATTTAATCCTGTTAACTCCCCCGAGCCCTGTAACAGAGGTGCTATGAACCAATTGTTGATTCTCAAATGTTATTTAAGAGGTTGAAATAACAGGTGATTTAAGCACTTGAAAATAACATATTTAGCATCGTACTTTTCAAAACCATTTTCTGTACATTATCTTATTTGATTACCAAACAGCCCTGTGGAGTAGATGGGAATGTTTTGTTACAGATAGATAAAGGAACTCCAATTCAGAAAGTTAAGTGACTTACTTAGGGTGACCCCAGTGGCAACAGCAGAAGCAAAACTATAATCAGACCTGTCCAATTTCTACCTCTATGCTCTTTTTACTCAGTCTTACAAACAATGGTATCTTGGTAAAGGTTTAACTACCAGCAATCATGGGATAAAAAAAAAAAAAAGAAAGAAAGAGAAACTAGTTTGGTAACATTTACTCTTTTTGGGGGGAGGGTATACCAGAGATTGAACCGAGGGGAACTTACTCACTGAACCACATCCCCAGGTTTAGCAATATATGAAAATCTACACTGTCACCTATAAATATTTGTAGCTCTCACATGCGCTCCGGGGAAGGTACAGCCCACTGCTGCATTCTAAGTGCATTATTTCTACTCCAGTCCTGGTTTCTTTCTGGTCTCATGAACATCCTGGCTCAAGAATCCATAGTTCTCGGTACTAGAGGACGCTCCAGTTATCTGCCCTCCTGAGAGTAAAACTAGAATTTAAATATAAGATAACAGACTTCTATCATGACCTGTGGCTCCTTGGCTTGTCCTCTTCTTGTCTCCATCCTTGCAGGTGCCTGTCCTGTGTCAACAGCGCCTTCCGCTGCCATTGGTGCAAGTATCGCAACCTCTGCACTCATGACCCCACGACCTGCTCCTTCCAAGAGGGCCGGATCAACATTTCAGAGGTAAAAAGGCTCACCCTGGCATGGCGATGTGCCAAAGAATCCGAATAGCCCCTTCCTTTTCAGATGGTCAATCCAATGGCTTGATCATCTCTTGTGCTGGCCCAATTTGGTCCTTTGATTAGATGTGGTCCTTCTGCATGCTTAAAAGCCATGTTGTTATAAAGCTCGAGGAAACTGTCAGCAAATGACCCCAGAGGCAAAGGCCATAACAAGTGGACTCCTCAAACTCTGCATTCAGGGGTTGAGTCTAGAAGCTTAGAGGAAACATATCCAACCCAACAGACTCTGTGATCTGGAAGAGGGTAGTGAATGGCATGTATTCTTTGAGTCTGGCCATTTGCTTGGCTGTAGACATAACTGAGTTCAATAGAACATTCACTCTCAACCATTCTTTCATGCCAACTTCTCTTCCAACTCTCAAATTCAATGATTCTTTGATGTGTGTCTGAGTGGGTGGCCTTATAGAAAGAGAAGAAAATTCAACTGGTGAAAGAACCAGGCATTGCTAAAAGTCCAATCTCATTGTGTAGCTGAAGCTCCATCTCTAAAGGCTGATCCATCTCTCTTATCAACACAGCGAAATATCACACTGCTTATCTTCCAGTGAATATTCCATTTCATGATTACTCATTGATGTTGCCTCTTTATTTTATGTCCCCAGCATACCCCAGGATGATGAAGGCTACTGAATCAATTTCCCTTTCTGGTACTTTTAGCCATGGGTGACCAGTTGAGTTTGAAGAACTATAGAGACCTTATGTATTCATATATATGCCCAAGTGCGTATACACAAGTTTCTCTCTTGTTCTACCATTTAGAATTCCGAAACTATTTATAGGTGACAGTGTACATTTTCATATATTACTGAACCTTTCTGCACAGATATTTTTCTCCAGTAGACTACAGTCTCCTTAATAAAGGCAAGGATCACAGCTTATCTTTATATTAAGTGAATATGAGTAGAATGAGTGTGTGGAACACATGGATCAACTAGTCACTTCTGTACCCAAGTCCCATTGATGAACATTGGGTCTGCTTGTCTAAGACTTCCAGAAATGGGGTCTCTTGTATCTATCTCCTCATCTCAACAGCTGTGCCAGTAGCTTTCATGAGTAAACATAAGAAAGTAGACCTTGAAAGGTTTCTGAAACACACACCCATGGCCTTGAGCTCTTTTTAGTTTCTGAAACAACATGTGTTATATTCAGTCAGGGAAAAAAATGGAATTTGTCTTAAAAGGGAGAGACATAGATGGTCCCTAATGGGAACACTGAAGGCAGACCCGTCCACAGTTGCCTCCAAAGGATAGAATCAGGCACGTAGTTACCCTGGGAATGATCCAAAAAGGATTTCCCTTGCCAGTTGGTATGCTGGGGTGCAGCTGGCCTGAAATCACTACACTGGTCTTAGTGAACACTGGAAATTAATCACAGCCCTGGAACTTTGCAGAGGTCTGAACCAGCCTTCTTACTCAGAGAAAAGGGCCTGAGAGCTGAAGGTATGGGGTGGTGGGTGCAGCTAGGGAGCCCATAGAAGAATAACTGAAGAAAACAAGTTGCAGAGGGCCTGATCAGAGGTGCAGGTTGGGCAGTAGAAGATGGGAGGTCATTGGTCTTAGAAACTGGCCTTCCCTTTGGCCACTCAAAACTTCTAAGTTCCTTAATTAAATAGGAGGAGGAGGAACTCAGAACCCAGAAAGAGGGTGAAGGAGAGATTTAGACAAGAAGGAGCAGCTGCCCCACTTTCAACTGGGGCCGCCCCCTCAGGCAGAAAGAAACCCAAAGCCAAGCCTGATCTCGACCTGCAGCTGGAGGGAGGGCAGGCAGGGTGTCACATGGAGCAAGACAAATAAACTCAGCCCGGGATGTGAGGGATGTGCGTAGAGGCCCGAGGGCTGAGCCCCAGAAGGCTAATTGGAAGCAGGCCGGGCCTCCTTCACACTGTGTAGAAGCCACTGAAACACAGCTCCCTGTCAGCCACAGAGGAGAGGCCTGGACATTCCAGAGAGCGGGTTGGAAAAAAGCTGTTGCCTCTCTGCAACTCGGTATTGAGTTAATACTAAAAGAACCCTGAGGCCCAATCCAGAGACTTCCTATCCCCTTTCAGCCTCAAGAAGAGCCATACCCTTGCCTCCCCCCCATCTGCCTGCCTGAGCGGGGCTGGGTGGTCGCCTGCTCTCTAATCCTCAGGTTTGTGGCCCCAGGCAGGCCCAGGGGGTAACTCTCTGGAGGGCTGTGATGGAAACCCAGACTCTATCCAGCTCCCAAATAGGGTGCAGCTAGCCTGCAAGGTTGCAGGGTCACTTCCTTGGCTTCTGAAAATACGACTTTAGCTCTCAGCCACAACCTATCACACCTCCCTGCCCAGAAAATAGCTCTGAGGCCCTGCACTATTTGAACCAAAGTTCCATTTTAGGGGACCCCTTATTCCTGAAAATTTGAAGAACAGCAAAAACACCCATGGCCAGCTTGGGTAAGGTTTTCCTGGCTCTATGAGGAGTGCCATCTGTGTCTTTATGTTGTTTTGAGACTGGAAATCTCATAGGTGTCTCTTTGGGGTTCCTAGAATATCTCTTTTATACTTCTGGTAAGCCCCTGACCTAAACTTTAAATCAAAATTTTATGTCTGTCGACTTCCTAGAGATAATATATAACTGATTGGCTTCATTGAGTAATGTAGCAACTTTAATGCATCTCACATTTATAGTTTTTGCACATGTGGCCGAAGTTCTCAATGTGTGCCAACCAGGGTGTGCTCCGTCAACATCACCCACAAATGTGTTAGAAATTCAAATTCTTGGACCCCATCCCAGGTGAGGCTAAAGATTGAGAACCCCTGACATACGGTGTTTCAGTTGATTCTGAAACAACCCTGCAGATTCACATAATTCATATTTGACATCTGTAGTAACCAAGATGCCAAAAATTTAGTGATTTTTGCCCAAGGCTACAGAGAACTCAGGCATCCCAAAAAGCAGCACAGTTTGTTTTCTAGAGAAAACCAGGCTTGAGTGTGTTGGTCTCCATGGCCACAGCTACCCTTGCAGGTGTGACTTCAATCTGGCCCTTGCTGTTGGTCATGAGGGTTCAGAGAGTATGGCTGGACCTGCACAAATCCGTCTCTACAGATGGAGAAATTTCCCATGAAGATGGGTTGGCCATGCCACTTTCAGATAAAAGGACAGCCGGCATATGAGGTGGGTTTGCCCACATCTTTCCAGAGGACTGCTGGGCCAACTCCATGCTTAAGCCTGATGATGAAGAACAGCTGTGCTGTAGAGTCTACGGTTCAAAAAGAAAAGTTGTAGAAGTTGACATCTATTGAGTGCTTATTATATATGTGGCACTATTTATAGATAGATACACACACACACACACACACACACACACACACACACATATATATATACATATACATATATAAATCTTATTTAATCTTGGCTACTGTATGGTGGAGATTCTATTACAGATAAACTGAAACTTAGATAAGTACAATAATTTTCCTATTATCATCAAATAAATGCAGACATAAGGATTCAGAGTCAATGTTCCATGCTGGCCTTGAATAAGTTGATGTCCTCAGATTCTGCGTATATATACACACATACATACAGAGAGAGAGAGAGAGAGAGAAAGAGAGAGAGAGAGATTTGCAGTAATAATATTTAACAATGAGTGTTCATCCAGCTCATTACCACTCACCCCATACTTTCATATCCCTCTTTCATGTAATCTAGGATTGTCAGGTATTATTGGCACCATTTTAGATTTGAGGAAACTGAATTTCAATTGAACCATCCCTTGAGCCCTTTTAAGGTAACAAACCAGACTTTACTAGCACTCAGAGACCAGCAGATTTCTGATGGGGCTCCCAAATCTCTACCTCGCTGGGCCGGATCAGACAATGACAGGGTGTTAGCAAGCGGGAGTGCACAGGAGTACGTATGGCTTTCAGCTTTGAAAGCTCATCTTCCTCCATGGCTAAACCAGGCCTAGTGAGATGTAGATACATAAATATCTTCTTTACGCCCCGTCCCAGGGGAAAGATAGAACCAAATAAATCCGATTAGCTTCCCAGGATGCCGGCTGCTCTCTCTCTTTGAAGTCCAGTGGGTGAAGATAATGCCATTTCCACATGGGAGAAGTTGTTTCGAAAGGCTAACAGGTCCCCAGCATGGGAACCTGGTAGAGCACAACCAGACAGAAGAGGCAACAGGGCCCCAAGACTCCAGGGCTCTACGCCAGGCCCTGGCCCTCCTGCCCTCCCTACAGTTGTATTTCCTCTTCCCTGTCCCCAACCCCCTGCTGCCCAGCTCTAGGATCGTCCCAAACAGGACATCTGTTCATTTTGACTTAAACTAAGCCGGCTGTCTTGAGGAGGTGACTCAGCTCCAGCTGGCCTGCAGACAGAGAGGAATAGGATGACCTGAAGATGTCACTCAGAAGACTGTGAGGAGTGGCAGGAGCAATCAGTATTTTAGGAATATTCATAACAGTCTTAAAATTCTGCAGAAAAAGCATTTATGATTATTTGCCTTTTTGTCCTTAAGATAAAAACTCTGTGTGTGTGTGTGTGTGTGTGTGTGTGTGTGTGTGTG